GAGAGGAAGAAACCCAAGAGGACTGCAAATGTCCCTCTTTAGAACACAGATGAAAAAGATGTAACGAAGAGAGGGAAGCAAGTGAAGTGAGCAGAGCAAAAGAACCCTTCATCCCTTTTCTCTCCTCCACTTGATCGCAATAAAGTTTATATATGACATAAAATACTCCGCTAACAGAAGAATATCGTGTGGCAAGGGTAATTATTTCACCACGTTTGGTCCCAAACTTCTAAACTCTATCCTGCGTCAGCTCTTCTTCAAGAAGCATAGGTTCAAAGGAAGCTTTTGGATTGCCAATACACTGTTCAGTGCAGTTCAATTTTCGAAAAATCTTTCAAATAAAGGAAGTTAATGAAAAAACTGAGCCGCTTTTGTGCCCTCAAAGCACCCACCTAAACAGCAGCTCTCGGTGAGTTGGACATTGGATAAATGAATCAACTTATTTCAATAGTGCTCAAATGCTCCAATCTCCTTCTCTTCCCGCATAGACATATATAGCTTCACAACTCCAATTAAATTATTTATGCATCACATTCTTCACTTGTCTGGCAGTGTACAGCAGCCTACAGACACTGTTGATATTTCTTCACGAAGTGCAGTTGTGAACTTCTGTGCCACTGTAGCTCAGCGCACAAATCCGTCAACAACTAAACGGTCACATTTTAAGGAATCGCTTACCCGGTTCAGTTTCGTTATGCTGCGTGTCAGCAGACAGAACAACTGAATGCTGCTGGGCTGTTGTCAGCTTGTGCACGGTGTCATATGCTGGCACCTTGCTTCGGCTGGCGGTTCCAACTCGGCCCCGAAGGCAGAGTTTCTTTGAAAGCTCTGTTCACCGGGGTGGAGAAGAACAATAGGGCCATCAGCGTGTGAGCTCCATATTTAGTCGTTCCGTCTTTTGACCCCAAAAGAATATATCCTCAGTGCAAGAATTAAAATTGTTGAGGTGAGGTGCAGCACTGGCCAACTTTCTAATAAATATTCATAAATACTTTTTGTAGTGAGAACTGTAATTGAGGAGGCACAACAAATAAATTACTCTTCTTCCATAAGGTTTTCTGGAAAGCGTAAAGAGCTGCTAGCTTGAACAAACACGTAAACCTGGGTTGCTTGGGCAGCTGACATATCGAAATTAGTTCCAAATATATCAAAAAGCAAGGTAGCTGATACTCGGCGAAGCTCCCTTCAATAAAAAAGTTCTTACTGGAAAACTCAATAGAAGAAATTGTAAATACAGAACCATATGATTCCTAAAAGACTACTTTTCCGTAAGTTCTGAACAGTCAGGGTGACAGACGTCTGGACCTTGAATTCCGCAAAGGTCGACTTGAATTGAGTATATCTCTCGCGGTAATAAACAAGAGTTGCCAAATAGTATCACGACTTGCCGAATTGAATCACGATTATGACTTCGAAAAACCTCTTTTAATGCCTCCCTGACCTAAAGGAACTCAAGCACAAACTGAAATAGAAAAAAAGACATAAAGAATGAACAAATATCTATACCAGTTTTAAAACAACTTTAACACCCTTCGAAAAGCAAGGAAATTTATTAATTATAAGAAGAAATTGGAACAAAGTAACTCAATTATTAAACAATTAAACGACGTTACCATAGGATCTTCTGCATGCAAAAAAACATCTTCGTTTATCACTTCGGAAAACTAGGATACCCCAACAGCAAAACGACCTCCTTCC